TGCAGACCATTGTGTCATTTTGTTCCCATGTGTAGTATTGCTCATACATTTTTGTGATCATTTTATCCGTTTAAATTGGTTCTCTGCTACATTATTCACCTCAGCTTACAAATGCTGAGCTTGAAAATAAAATTTTTTTTAATGGTCAAAATGTTTAAAAAATAGAGCATTTTGCTTTTTAGAATTGTTCTTATTCACTGCTACATATCTAACTTTAAAAAACCCAAAGAAAACCAAAAAAACCTCAACAATTTTGTTGAAACAGTCACACAAACCGTAGCATTAAGACCAAAAGGGGGCCTGAGACATTCCTGCCCCAAAAGAATTTTTTTTGAGAGAGTATAGTGGAGAGAAAATTGATATTTTGAAAAAAAGTTATTCTTTCTGGTTGGGTCCTGGACCCAGTGAAATGCCCATGATGAGGGAGCTGTGCTGCTGAGCACAGGGAGATTGGCTGCATGAAAGGAGCCCCCATGGACAGAGCCTGCCCTGGTGCCTTTCTCAACAGCAGTGAGTGGTCCCCTCTGGTGCTCATCCTGTCCTTTGCTCTTAAGGGAGTAGTGCCTGCTGGGCAAGCCAAAGCTCTCCCTTTGCAGCCAGGTTCCTCTGCAGCTAAACCAGAGGATGTTTCTTTCTCACATCGTTAGGATATGCTGTTAATTACATTTTGAAATATCCATATACTTTTCCTCTTAGGGGATCTTACAAGCAAACTTCTTGCTAACAACTTCTGTGGTTCGCCATAACCTCTCAGAATAATCATCGCTTCCATTGAACTTATGCCAGTTGTTTTGTTAAACTAAATTGAGAGAACGGGGCCTATATTAATTCTCGAAAGGCAAGAGATTGCCCTGTGATTTGGGGAAATCTTGATTGCTTACAATATGAATAAATGAACAAGGCAGATATTAACTTTACACCTGACTTCAATTTCTTTGAGCAGTGAAGAAATGTCCAGCAGGAGGGTAAAAATCCAGCTAAAACTCATAACCCAGCCATTAATAGGCTAACTTTATTGTGCTGTAAAATCTTCAGCTGCTTATAGAAAACAAAAGGGCAACAAATGCGGTATTTGTCTTTTATTCTGAGAAAAAAACCTTAAGATCAAACAGTGCCTAAAATACTGAGCTGATATGCATCCCACTTACATATTTTTGGATATCCTCTGATATGCATTCCACTGATGTATTTGATAGGTAATTATATCAGCCATATCGAGATGCTGATACCAAATAGTGGAAGACTTCAGTGTTTTGCCATAAAGCTTATACCCCTTGTTACTGAACTCTCATCAGACGAGATCTGCAACAATCATTCAAAAGCTGTAGTTGGTATTTTTGTGCTTATGCCACATTTAAAAATTATTATTCTTGCTTCATCAGTTAGTCTTTTTAGCTGACTTGAAAAAAAACATATTGCAAATGAGCTACTATTCTTACTTGTTGTTTTAAGAAGGGTAAGCACTGAAGTATTCAAATGGAACAGATTATACCTTTAATTACATCCAAACAGGATGCTGAGCTGATTTTTCTATTTTCCGTTTAATTGCTATAGTTCAAAAAGATATTGCAAATTTGTAGATGAATTATTTAAGCATAGCCTTCTGGCCTCTGTATTTATGGGAGAGACCAAGGCGGGGGGGGGGGGAAGAAAACTGAATTTAAAAGAGAAAATTGCCACTTCCTTCTTTAAGAAAAAAGCTTGAATAAAACATCTTGGGAAAGTGTTTTAGCTGGATAGATGTTTTGTGCTTTTTGGGAGCATCTTGGGAGTCCATGGAATTCGTTTGTATCCCACCATCCACACTGGGTCCCTCACTCCTGAGGGACTACCTGTCTCATGCCATGGGTAGCAAAGTGCTGTTTCTTCTCTGACCTGCTCATGAGTGACTATACTGCTTAAAGGATGCGATCCCAACCAGCCGCCCTTTGTATGGATGTGCTTGATCTCCATTCTCCTGCACACAAAATGACAATAATGAAAGCAAGCACAATTCATCACTTCTATCCTAAATATATTACCATTTTGTTTGCATGTGCATGTGTATATATCATTCACCGTATATATTTAGGATATGTGCTATGACATTACAGCCAGTGATAAATCCTACTTGCTTACTATATGTGTTATTTGCTGCAACATTAAGCTCAGTAAGACTTTTATATGTAACTTGTACCAAAACTAAATATATTGTGGAATTGATGCACAGTTGTAAACAAGAACATAACTTCCTGCTTCAACACAGTCGAAGGTGGCAGCTTGTGTGGCAATTCTTTTGTAAACAATTGCAGACTTTCCAAAGAATAAGCCAGTTAATTAAATTTTTAATGATGTTTTTAGAAAATAGGATTCTTGGGGGGAAAAAACCCAACCTATAACACCAACAAAAAAAAGTAGACCTACAGCTTGTACTGTATAAAGACATGCTGTTGGTGAAAAAGTGGATTATGCTGGCCCAGATCTTTTGCTCCCCCCATCCTTTTTTTTTCTTCTACTGAACTTGTCTGTGTAGAGTATTTTTTTATAGCTCTACTGTGAATTCAAAGAAAGATGACAGTGGCACAATCTATTTAATTTTTTGGTGGATTATCTTATTTCATTATTTTTAATAGTGCTAAGTATGTGCTACTCACTTGCAGAGCTGATACAGTGCATAGCAAAGCTCAAGATGTCCTCTTAAATACACAAAGCTTATGCAAGGCCGTGACACAAGTAGGTTTTAAACGCTGGCAGCACTGGCAGCTTTGAAGGGCTGATATGATACAGCCTTGCCGACACATCACAGGTTATAGGGAGAGATTCAGGAATAAACTGAACTAACTGGAGTAAGAGTAGTACACAACTTTTATTGATGAAGTTCAGGGGAAAGAGGCACCGGGGGCAGCTGTATTAATCCCATAATAACTTGAAATATAATCAGCACATTGCTGCAGGGATGGCTAGGACGGGAGGGAGGTGGAGGTGTCAGGGTTTAAGTTCACAGGCTTTCCCAGTTCATTAAAAAGTGAATCAATCAGAGAAACAGGCTGGCTTTTCAAAGGGCTGGCAGTTGTGAACGGGCTTCGGACGTTGGGGGGCACACAGATGGTGTGCCCAGCCTCGTGCAGAGGCTGCTGGAGCTCAGCAGCCATCCGTTTGAGAAGGCGGCTGTGTTTTACCCTGCTCAAGCCAGTAAAATGTGTTATAATGTGCTAGGGGAGATTCTGGCTGGATTTTGAGAACTTAAAAGTCAGGCAGTGTTGGTGCTGTGGGCCATATAAAGGTGACGCTGATAGATGTTTATAAAGGGAAAAAAGTTTTGTTTTATAATTTCTAGAGTGGTGGTTTAACCAGCAGGCAAATGGGCAGAAGGAGTCTGCCTACAGGACCCCTCTTTGTAGGCAGCTGGTATAGTAATTAGCTCATTACTATTAATTTTGCCATCCCTGGACTGATCAGTGATGTATTTAAAAAAAAAAAAAGGGCAATTCATATATCTGGATTTGGCATTTCCTCCATCCTTTTGATGAAGCTGGTGTGTGTACACAAACCAGGGAACATCCTCGGAGAGTGAGCTTACTTACACCCACAGGCATTTGGAGGTTTAGGACAGAATGCCCTATATTTAAATAGGACTCATGACTTTTTAATTACTGCACAGTACAACAGGGCTCAGTGAGAACAC